TGAAAGGCAACAAGAAATCTTGGATTTGTTTATTCACCTGCGCCATTTATAGGGCAGTCCATTTAGAGTTGGTTGAATCGATGTCTACTGAGAGTTTTCTACTAGCTCTTAGAAGATTTATAGCTCGTAGAGGACGGAGCAGAATCATATACTGTGACAACGGAACCAATTTTGTTGGTGCTTCAAATGTACTTCAAGACTTAAACTGGAAGCAAATCACTGAAGACACATCTATACCACCAATTCAGTGGAAGTTCAACCCACCAACTGCCTCCTGGTGGGGAGGCTGGTGGGAGAGATTGATAGGAATTCTTAAGAAATTGCTGAGACGAGTATTAGGAAGAGCTTCGCTAACTTCTGAAGAAATGAACACGACTCTCTGTGACTGTGAAGCAGTAGTAATTAATTCCCGTGCCATTGACATATGTAACTGAAAGTGATGCTACTTTAATGCCTTTAAGTCCATCTCTATTTCTTGCAAGATAATCAAATAAGTGGTGTTCCAGATCTTGATGACATTGGGCATAAAAGTCTTAATAAGCGAGTCCAAATATAGAGAAAACTTGCAAAAGGATTTGAGAAACAGGTTTAGGTCTGAATATTTAGGAGCACTTATTCAAAAAGCAGGAAACAAAAAATCCGTGAAAGTGAATATTGGTGATATTGTATTGATAGGAAGTGATAACACCAAGCGAATCAATTGGCCATTAGGTAAAATAATTCAGATTCTTCCAGGAAAAGATGGAATTACAAGACTTGTCAAGCTTAAAACAGCTAATGGACACTTGCTAAGACCAATTCAAAGATTGTATCCACTTGAAGTTTCCAACGATGATGACATTATTGAGAAATTTTCAACCGCGAAGGTGGGAGGTGAAACCTGTGCCAATTCTTCCTTTGATAACGTGTGTGGACTTGAACCTCAGATTCAAAAGACTAGAGCAGGTCGTACAATCAAAGTACCTAAGAGACTGGACTTATGAACTACTTATAATTTTCTTTTTGTAACTTATAAAAAATATTCACAATTTTCTTTTGCAAGTTAAATTTTTTACGTAAAAATATTAACTTAGGTGGGAGGATGTGAAGTTGTACCTCTACCTGATTATTATCTTTATTTTGATAAAATTTAGTAAATCGCGATTGGCAACAGTTGAGTTTTTACATCTACGTTTTCGAGTTTGTTCTATTGTTTACTTTCGTTTTAAGTAATGAGAATAATGACTTTTTGAGATGTTTTTCATGAGTAATATTTTATGCCATTTATGTTCTGAGTATTGCTTTGAGGTGTCAAAGCTAAAACTAACACTTAATTAGACTTGTAAATAGAATTGTAATATTAAACTGTTTGTGTTATGTGACGAGATGTCTTTCATTGGATAATTGATTGTATACTCATTTTCCATCATAATTCTTCTGATATCGAAGGTAAAACGGGATAATTTGTGTGTGGAAATGACATGTTGAGGTTGCACAGGATTCAGTGGTAAGTAATACTACTGGCTAATCCATGGAAATTTTGAGCAGCATGCATCACCATGAATGTGGACCGTGCAAACATGCTTTTGATTTATGGAGTCGTGGATAAAACAGAGCAGTTACAATGAATAAAAAATTACTCCCTAGTATCCAGTTCCACATATATAATGCATTTTACTAAGCACCACATTTATGCAACAACACATGCCACTTAAAATTCGCATGGGGACTTATGGCAGCAGACAGCTTTTATCTACCATTCAACTGCACTCTGTAGCACCTTAACAGACCATTCTTTGTACACATTCCATTACGGAAGATACTTATTTTGGTCCTTTCCACCTGCTTATACTCTTTTCAGAGGTATTTTGCATGACCCTGAATCAGATGCATTCTTCTACAGTTGCTGGGGAACAGATTATGCACAGCATCATGATAACTGAGCACTGCCTCTAGCAGAATGAGTTGTAGTTCCTAAAAAAATAGATAATGATGTCTATGTCACCTAAACTCATAGTGGTCTGGTCTACCTGCAGTCATAAGGAATCATACCACTCCCACAAGCTACACATACAGATATTAACAATGGCTGATATATAACATTTGTGAAATGGATGCTGCGAACAATAAGCAGAAAATGCCACATTTAATGCTGATTTATTGATGACACAGAATTCTAAAGAAATCTTTATCTTTACCATTACTAGTTAATAATTATTCTCTGTGTTATCATCCAGAATCTACTTCTAGCATGTCCCCTTTCAAGTGAGCATGTCCCCTTCACGATGCCATGTTGCTAAACTGAAAACCTTCTGCAGATGGGTTATGTATCAGTTATATATACATCAGTCCCAAATGTCACTAGCAGCCAGGTGATGCGCTGGTGCATCGCCGCTTGCACTGGCCCAGACATGTTCTTTCAAACATGCACGTTCTTTTAGAATTTTCTTAAAATCACTAGATGGCACTCCGTGATTACTAGTTAGCTTATTTTAACATATACATTGTTGACTTTGTGTCCGTGAAGTACTTTCTGATTCTGGCGATTCATTTAAACATACGAGCAGATGATATAAAGTAAACAAAACCCAGCTGATACGCAGTTGAGGCTTCACATGATATAAACACTGAACAGTTTCTGATGCTTAAAATCCCCCCCATGAGATAATTGGGAGTGGAGTTGTGGTTTTAGGAGCTCAGGTTTGTATTCAGTTTGCATGTTTAGAAAGCAGACGTAAGATTTTTTGCACCAGCTAAGATAGTTAAACTAATAGTGCAATGTCTAAGAGAAAGAAGTATTTAATGGAAGAAGAGTATATTGAATTTGGAAAGGCTATGAGTGTCCATTCAAGCCCATAAGTGACTATTTTGAAACTGAAAACTGTATTTATGTAAGACTAGTGATTTTGATACCGAAATTTTGTCAAGAGACTAAATTGGAAGTTTGTTTTGCTTTCATCTTACAGTCTAACAGAACAGTGAAACAGATGGAGTAGTTAGTCTAACAGAACTAACTACTCCATCATGAACTTCACTTGTTAAGTAATTGAAGCCTTATGAATTTACTGCAGAAGTAAACTTAATTCAAAGTTATGTGAATAAAATTGATTTTTTCTCTGATAATCTAACAAACTGATAGTTGAAGAAACTAATAATTTTAATATACAAAAGATAGTGAAAATCCATCTTCATCCAAAATCAACATATCCCTGTAGATGTGCCTAAAATGAGGGGATGCCTAGGATTAACCCTGAGAATTATTAAGAGGTTCAACCTGAAAACGTGTCTCGTCACTAATGAAATGACAGCGACTACATTATCACAGAGTGTCTCCTTTCTGAATCATTTATGCTATATTATTTAATCATATATATTATTATTTTTATGTATGTTTAGATATGGATTTAAGTAAGTTTTTTACATTTCATCAAGATGAGTCATATATGGTATGCCCGTCACGAAGGGGTTAATAACTTTTTCCTTTACATGAAAATATATACAAAATTTACTTACTTTGAGATGCTATTCAAATTATTCTGAAGTTTTAATTGACAAAATACATTATAACTTTTTAAATTAATAACAAATACAAGAGCGACTATTTAAAAGAAGCAACAAAAATCTTTCATGAGGTTTGGAAGCAAGGCACTCGGTGAGCTCAGTCTCTGACAAAATGTTTGTATCAGAATTACTAGAAATATCATGCTTTAACTCTTTACAAAATCAATCATCACTCTCATTCATGTCACTAATTGGCTCATTTACTATGTGAGTATATCTTTTGATAAATAACGCTTACTAGCCATAATAAACCAAAGTCAAGGCTTTCCAAAATAAAAAGGTATGTATGCGAAATATAAGAGATAAAAGCTACGCGAAGCGTAACAGAACTCCATATAGTAACCCTAAAAGACACTACATAGGAAAAAAAAATAAATAAATAAAGGATTTGAAGGGACATCAGAAATTTGAAAGTTTATATATATCACATGCAAGTTAGGAGCCAAGTTCAGTTTGTTTACATTACGCATTCCCTGTTCTCCCACAACAGTTCACATGAACGTTATGCAGAATGTGATCAAACTGAAAGGCAGAATCCTAAAACTATTCAGTTCAAAAGTAATGGACACAGGTTACCATCTAAGTTTTTAAAAATGTTTCACCTTAAAATGCAAATCTACATCACCTGCCCTTTATAATTGTTCTCCAGTGATATATGGGTGGGATGCCCAGTTGTGAGAGACATTCATAGGGAATGCCCATCCAGAAAGGGTTAATAATACACATTTGAAGATTACACTAAATTAAAAATTACTGCTTATAATGCCATGGTTGCTATCCTTGAAATATGAAAAATCAGGAGTTCCTGGGAGGTTTCGTGCTGTGTAACAGCACCATTTTAAAAGAACTGAAATTGATTCAAATTTGCTTTTAATGCATTATTCAGTTTATTCAACAGTTTATACTATGATTATGATGTACATTACATTAATTACTTATTTTAAATGTCATATTCTTTCTATAATTTCATTTTGTAATTTTTTACACTCAAAAAATTCTGAGTAGTGAAGGAAAACTAATTCATCCAAGCATTTTTAAACATGGTAAAAATAAAATTAACAATTCATATGGATATTACTGCTTGGATAAAGTTAGTAATTTATCAAATATTGATTAAAACTAAATAAAATACAAATATTTGCTAATTAAATAGTTATATAATAAAAGTTTCTTTAAATGTCTACTGTAAATTAAGAAAATTCCAATCTAATAAAATTTAATAAGAAAAATTATTATAAAGATTACTAGGCATGCGGGAATGAAATTGGCACAATTTAATTCAATAATGAAACTTAAAACATTTGCAAAATTTAATTTTATTGGTAAAAACACCTTAATAGTAGTAAAGGCTAAAAATTAAAAACTGCAAGTTTTGGCGATATACTGGGAGATAAGATGAAAAACTGGGGAGTCGGAGAATAAAGAGTAAAAAATGAGACAAATTTCAAAAGACAACATACTTCCTGATAGCAAATATAAGCCATTAGGATCGATGGCAAGACTGGTAACAGCATCTAAGTGTGCTACCATTGAATGTATCATTTTCCCTGAAAAACATTATTAAAATAAGTAATCAGCATAAAACATGATGCACAGACAAACAAACAATTTACAAAAATTTCCATACTTTAATAAGACTAGGATTTTCTTTATATGTGTATCTATATACTTACATCAGAAACTATGATTAATTTGCTGCAGCTTTGACTAAGAGATTACATATACATGACAAGCAGTTTTAACTACTTTTCAATACCATCTATGTTGACATAAATGATTATATACATCTTAATTTTGTATTTTAAAATCTTTAGCTGACGTTCATGAATTCCCTTATGGCTGTCATATCAAATATTTTTTGACAGTAACTGAGTATATTATTTAGGAATTTTCATATTGATGAAATAAAAGTGACTTTACCAGTTTATTCTGCCATATTTTTTGTCTACAAAGTAAATACAACCTATTAATCAGATGCAGCAGTAGTTAGTCCAGATTTTTGCATTTTCCATGTAAGTGATTCTTGACTTAAATATCTTACGACAGTTGTAAATTATCAAATCAGCTTATTTTGTACAGCATCAAAAGACTCTACAAGCCTCACTTCCCTCCTTCAACAACACTATTGGCATGAATTATAATTATTAGATCAATTATTGAATGATTCGTGTACATAAATTAGATTGTTAGCACTCTAGCCATGGAGTTTTTCACTTCACAGTCTTAAAAGGTAGGTTAGGTTAATTTATTCAGACAAGCCAACTTGAAAGTTATCTGCTTATAGGAAAAGATACTACCTTTATAAATGAATTTAAGGGAAACTGGTTCATATTCATATTACAAATGGGGAAAACAATGAAAGCTCCTATGCAGCCAAACCGTGGCCAGGATTTAAACTACCAGTCTTCCAACAACTTGGCTGCTGACAGGTCATTCATCTAAGAGCATATCCTTCCTGAAGCTGTTTTTTCAGTGTTGCGATGCATAAAAATTCTTTATGTGTAGGTCATATGGAGAATGTTCTTACTGTGTATCCTTTAGTAGGTATTATTTCACAAGACACACTCTTTTACTCTACATGCTACTTTATTATATATACAAATATATCATCACTCGCATACACACTTATATCTACACCTACTCGCATTCCAGACCTTTTTTTTTTATTACTGTGCACGCTTCGATGCTTTAAGTCCCATTATGATTATACCTCGTCAATAGTTCTCGATATACCACATCCCTCCCCCTTTATCATAACTGCAGTCTATCTGGGGTATGTGGAATTCTACTGGACCGACGCAAAGGTTGTGGCACAGCAGGTTTTTTTCGTAACCTGGTTGTATCAGCAGCAGGTCAGGTGGATGGAACAGCTCATACAACCATGGGCTCGGAGGACGACACAAACTCATCTGCCTGGTAGCTATTATCTTTGGATGGTTCTCGAACTTCACTCTTATTAGGCTCTTCGGAAATCATGAGAGCTGGAGGTGGACGCATGAACCCCTCATCTGTTACGCTTCCTCCATCACGCATCTGATCCATATGTCGTCGCCATAGCTGATCATCTACATTTATGGTGTAATGAAGCTGCCCATCCTTGGATTGTATGGTTCCAAATCTCCATCGTCCATCACCTTGGCAATAATTTCTTACTGCCACTCTATCTCCTACTCTAAATGCTCGTAGGTTCCTTTTCGAATTCTGTCTTCCACCCTTCTCTTGAGATCTGGCCTCAATAAATCTATTCTTGTTCGAATTTCCCTCTTTGGCATTAGCATTGCAGGGCTCTGCAGAGTAGTTAAATTCAGAGTTTTCCTATATTGCATCAAAAATGTACTGAGTTTTTGTCTCAAAGTTCCTGGATAATTTTGCATTGTTCTTAAAGATTGTTTTACTGTAGACACATACCATTCAGCCTGTTCATTACTAGATGATTTAAATGGTGCTGCATTTTTGTGTTTGATTCCGTTACAAATATCTTAAACTCATGTGAAGTGAACTGTGACCCGTTATCACTCACCAACAATATTGGTAATCTGAATCGTGCAAAAAAAGTCCCGTAAACATTCTATTGTTTTGAAAGTAGAGCTTGATTTCACTGGATAGACTCCTAGCCATTTTGAGCGAGCATCTACGATTATCAAAAAATAGGTCCTGCATAATCAATGTGAATACATTCCATTGGAGCACACTGGTACTCCCAATGATGAACTTTTACCTTAGGAGGATCTATTTTATGTTTTGCATATTCAGAACAGTTTTGAGAGGTATTTTTGATATCTTTATCTATACCATTCCAAAATACGTAAGTTGACCATACTGTAATCCATCTCCCTTCCTTTCAATTCACTGCCGTTTTGAAGTATTTGTAGCAGAGGACTGAGTTCAGTTTCAATTTCAGTTTCTTTAGCCAAATATCGGGCAGTGATTGGAAGAGTTTCAATCTGCTGTAATTGAAAAATAGTTACATCATCCTGAACAGACAGTTGCTCTGAGTTCATCGGCAATTATGACAGAAAGTCAGCATTACCATTGGTCGCTTGTTTTACGATAAATAATATTGAATTGGAATGACTGTAAAGCCAAAGCGCAATGTAGGAGTCTTGTTGCTGCCAAAACTGGCATGCCTTTCTTTGAGCCAAAAATTGCAACAAGAGGTTTATGATCTGTAATTAATGTAAATTTTCTGCCTCCTAAGTACAGAAAAAATTTTGCTTCCCAAATTATTGACAAAGCTTCTTTATCGGTTTGAGAATACTTCTTTCTGTTTCAGTCTGTTCTAGAAGCATACACAATTGGTTTTTCTGTTCCATCAGGAAGTTTGTGAAAAAGTACTCCACCTAACCCAACTGATGCGTCAGTTGCCAATATTAAGGGCAATTTTGGATCACAATGCATCAAAACTTTTTGTGAATACAAAGCCTCTTGACAATCCTTCATCCAAACCCATTTTGAGTTTTTCTTAGTGAACCCTCTCGCTGCGTATCCCGCGATTTCCAAGGGCAACATAGAAGTAGCAAAATTTGAGCAACCTGTGGTTTTCGTGGGGATGCATATTTTTTGTTTATTTAACTGTGCAACCCGCTCTTTTCCCATTCATGGTTTCATTTCGGCTTTTCTGTGATGTTTTTATTTATTTAGATCTGTGTTAACAGATGGCATTAGTTGCCCATATTTTTGCGAAATATAGAAACACATTCTGCGTGCTCTTTTCAAAGCTCAAAGATGTCTGTAGTTCAACTCTCAATCACATGAGACTAACTGCTCGACATTTTGCTAGCTATATATCTCCCAGTTCCATCAAGAAAGAAACTCATAGAGATTGTGCTGTTTGTTTCTAATAAAAGAACTGAAACTGGCAAAAAAAATTCTCAAAGAAACGCGTATTTGGTGCAAAGATGGAGAGATAAGATGCTTCGAGGCTTGTTAAGAATTTTATCATATTACACTTCATTTCTAATAAATGTTTTATAAATATTTTGCGTATTTGCATTAGTATATATGTTTTATCATTATATTTTATACAATAAATCATAATTTAACCAAAATTAATTTTCAAAATTTTTTTTTTAGATGATTATTCTCCAGTTTAAACTTTCTGACAACCTATTTTTATGAGCTAATTCTATACTGGGGGGGGGGACTCTTTTACAAAAACATTTTGTATCAAACCTATTTTGATAAAAAATTACGCAGCAAGAGGGTTAATTGATATAAGGGATTTGCGACTGTCGCTAATTTAGAGCAAAAATTTCCATAAAAATTAACCAATCCCAAAAAACTTTAAATTTCTTGGACATTTCTGGGTCTTGGGGCTTTTGCAATTGCTGATATTTTCCCATTAGTTTTATGTAAACCATTAGCATCAATTTTATGACCTAAAAATTTTATCTCATCCTGAAAAATTTACTGTTCTCTAAGCTTAATTTCAGTCTGTGAGTTTGATATTTCTCAAAGAAATTTTTAAAATGTACCTCATCATCTGCCCCCATTATCCGTGCATCATCCATAAAGACCTTACACCCTTCCATTCTGTGGAATAGTCCGTCTACGTAACGTTGCCAAATTGCTGGCGCTGCATTTAGCCTGAACATTAATCTCTTACACTTATATAATCCCTGTGTGTTTATTGTTAGCAATTTTTGAGTCTCAGTGTGTATTTTCATTTGTAAATAAGCATGTTTAAAATCAATTTTTGAAAAATGTTTTCCCTCGCTCAAACATGAAAATATTTTTTTATGGTCGGCAAAGGGTACGATGCGTTACAATATTTGGGTTTACTGTCACTGAGTAGTCGGGACACAGTTGTATAGAGCCTTCCAGTTTAATTACTGGTACTACCGGAGTTGCCCATTGCGAAGTTTTAACCTTTTTGGCTATATCCTCTTTTTCCAAGCGATCAATTTCTTCATCTATCCGGCCCTTTAACACAAATGGTACTTGCCTAGCACTACAAAATTTTGGTGAAACATTTGATTTCAGTTCAAGTTCAACCTCATAATTTTTTATCTCTCCTAATTTTCCGTCAAAAATCTCATTATATTGTTCCAATAATTTATTTAAATTACTCTTTTGAGAGACAAAAATTAATTTTATAGAGGACCAATCTAAATTTATCTCTCAAAGGCCATTCTCGACCAAATATTATATCAAGGTTTTCTTTAACAATGTAAAGATTTAAGTTAAACTACAGTTACATAACTACAGCTACTCGCATTCCAGTCATTTTCTTATTACTGTGCACACTTCGTTCGATACTTGGTGCTGTGCCAGTTTTAAGTCCGATTATGATATACCCCATAGATAGTTATCGATATACCACACTTCTAGTATACTGCAATAGTTCTGTAGATTTGACAATGTTGACATCCATAATTACTCTGGACGCCTTGTCAGAATTAACTTTCTCAATTATTCAAGTTGTCTTTGAAGTACCTCCAGCACTGAAATATTTCCTTACAGCCAAGTGAACCCATACCTCATTTCAAGTGTTTTAGCAGCCTCATTCCAGGTTTAACATAGAATTCAATCATATAGTTCTACTATATTTTCAAACAGATGGCTTTCTCATCCATCAAGAAAAAATATAAAAGGCTATTTATCTTCTAAATAAAAAATGAAAGATATGACTGTCCGATTCCATGTACCTTGAAATACAAATTTTAGAAAACCTAGTAAAAGTTGCCACATCATCTACTGGGAAACAGAAAGAGGCAGTCATAAATCGCTTCTTAGTACACAATTCTATCAAGAACAGTATTACTAAAATCTATATTTACTTTTTGTTACAATGTGTTACACAAAGAATCATTCTCATATAAATATGTGCTATAGAAAAATAAAAAGTACCTTTCACTAAATTCGTATATTTTCCATTTATGTCAATTCAAAATTTCTAAAGCTAAGAATGAAGAATTTTTCTATTTCTTACCAGTCACAAAATCAACTGGAGATACAAAGTTAATAATTTCACAGCTAAATGAATTTGAAAGAACTAAAAAAAAATTTTTTGGGGGGGGAGGGGAATATATGTTACCTGAACTTGGAAATTTTATGGCACACTTAGAAACCACATTTGATTTCTTGTAAAAAGTCACAAGGAGCTAGGAAAGAACCTTCTACTGAGACAGTGTTTTTATTGTCCAAAATTAATCCTTCCTGATAATATTTAACATTAACAATCACAAAAGTGAAGTACTGAAGTGAATCTATTACACTTGAAGTCACCTTTTAGTTCCAACCAGAATGCAGTTTGAGTTAAAACATTCTTACTTCACACACAAAAACTCCTTCAAATGAAAAACAAGGGGAGCAGGGTGCACGCAAAAGACAATGTTATGCACATGCTTGTTTAAAACTTTCATCCTAATAATGATACTGTTTGCATATTTCAGAGATGTGGGATCATTACATCTATCACTTTCAAGAAGTTTAGCTACCTGTAGCGTACAAAAGGCCATTATAATAAAAAAGAATAATGTAACACAACTGTAAAGCTTATTGCTATTCTCTCCTGTTGTTTTCGACCCTCACAAAGCTTTACAAACTTCATTCTATCAAATAATGGATCATTCACTAATGATGAAAGCCATTATATTCACATTATAACAAATTTTATATCAAAGTTCAGCATATACTTACAAGACAGAACAGTACAAAAGCTTAATGTACAATAGTTTTAATTCTCAGAAAGCCGAGATTAGTGTTGTCTTTTATCAGAAATCATTTAGCAATTTAGCATGAAAGTAATAACTATAAAAAGAGTATGCTACTCACAGACACCCACCAAAAAAGGGAGGAGCCCTTTTATATTTTAACATTACTTAATTGCACGGTTGGACAGAATTAGTACAAATAAGAAATATTTTCACTTTTTTATTACTTTTACAGCTGCATATAAATCAAAACATTACCTGTATTATGTCAAAAAATCTAATATGCCTATCTTCATGAGCAGTCACAGTAAGGGGGAGAGTAGGATGGCATACAATACAGTTTATTTGTTTACCTAAAGGACTTGCATCTGGAAGTGGATGAAAAAGAAACCTTTACCTTTTTTGAAAACATAACCAAAAGTCTAACAGATTAGAAAAAAAAAAAAAAAAAAAAAAGAGAGAGACCAAGATCATATATAAAATTACCAAATGAAATCTTTTGACTGAATTATGTCCAGTGAGTTTTTCAACACATATCAGTATTTTTAACAATAGTAGTTTCATTAATAGAAAATTAACATGAAAATGTTACCCAAAGAAATTTGTTAGACACCGAAATTTCATAAATTAATCATATACTTTATTTACTTATTTCTGCTCTACAATAGAAGATACGAAATATGAAAATTTACCCAAGATCTGAGAATTCTTAAATCTAAGAAATAAAATATAAAATTAGAACATATACACTTAACAATTCCTAAGATACATTAGGTTCTGTCATAAAAAAAAATCAGCGAAGTTATTTTATTAGCCAGATACACACACTTGAAACAACTGAAAAATAAAAGGTTTTCAAACAATGGAATGGATGCTATAAAAAAGGTCTACACAATGGCAAATCATATATAGTATTTGATTTAATTTGTGCAAAGGACTTAAGATGTATTTCTATGCTAATACTGGACATAATTTGTTCTCAATCTATACACAGAGCACTATAAGTCATGCAAAATATACAGTTGCAAATTAAGTAATAAAAAATTATAGGAAGAGCTTAGATCTAGAAGTAATTGCCTTCAATGAATAATGTAGCTCAAATGAACATTTTAAAAATGGGACATGTAAAATGGTGTCCTCATAAACTTGTCATTTACTATGAATACAAACTGTTTTATGTAAGATATCGACATTATGATACAGAAACAAAAAAGCATTCATTCTTGCAAAAGCTTATACATTCCAAATTTAAATACCATCATGAAATAGATACCAAAATAAAAATATACTTCTAAATGAAAATTCCACCAACATTTCATCAGATATGCCTGATGATTGCATTACAGAGACATTAGTATCGCTGTATCTTTTGATCATTCATGTTGTGCAAGACATTTACCATGCATTATGCATGTATATTATAGCAATACAGAAGAAGTAAAAAATCTGGCTAGAATGCTGACTACACACTCCAAAATAATTAATTAGTTCAAGCTAATTCAGAACAAGTTTTAATTGCTGCAGTAAGAAAGTAAGTGTAGGATATGAGTACACAATATTATGAGACTGTTTACTGGAAAGGATTTGGTTGAAATAACTGCAACTGAAACGTACCATTACCAACATAAAATTTCTAATGCTTATATAAGATTATCCACCCAAAAAGTGTAATATTACAGCTTTACATTAAAAAAGTAGTTGACTCATCAGTCTGATGAGCTTATAAAGAGCACTTGCTGATTATTTGTCTATTAATACTGATAACTGAGGGAAAAAAATTAAAACCTTTTACAGCATTCAAATAAAAACACATGTGGCTTAAAAACTTTTAACTTCATATCTTTTTCACTCAACTTTAAATTCAAAGAGATACAGATTTTGACTGGTTGGTTATTTGAATATGGCAAAGCCACCAGCACTATGTGCCTAAAAGAGATGCCTTCGTGGAGGATTTTCTGAGGGAATCTAGCTTTGTTTCATGTCACACATGGGAAAAGCCATGGAAAACCAACCCTGCAAATAGCCCATTTGCTTAGGCTCAAACCCCAAATAAGCTGATCTAAAAGCATTCTGCAATATAAACAACTTGGCCATTGGTGAAGTCAGAACATTAATTAGATATGCATCATGTAGTATTTAGGTTACTTATGCATAATCCGTAAGAGATAATAATCTGGGAACTACGTAGCAATGAGACTGCTACACTTGGGTTTAAATTCCTTTCATATAAACCTGGATATTTTCAAATTTTCTTGAAAACAGTTAGCTGTGGTCCCTCAGAATTTTAAGATTTTTATATTTAAAAAATAAATCATAGAGAAACAAATTTCAGCACATTACTTAAATTTTTTTTAAAAAAAAATATTATCCTTGAGAACAGTTCAAACAACTTTATTAAAGTAAACAAAATTTCCCTCAATGAGGAAATTACATTATGGCAAAGATTGGTAATCAATCAGAATGGTCTATGAATTGAACAGCGAATATATGTGGAGATTTAAACTGTATTCTGATGCTGGAGTTTCCTTAAAAGAATTATGGATTTAGTCACATCCCATTTTCAAAATTTGGCAACATTTTTACATAGTTAGAGCTTTTGCAACAATATCAAATTTGAAAGATTTCAGAAGAAATGCAAGATCTAATGCACCACTAGACTAAACTATGGATGTTAGAATCATTTAAAATCGCTAACGAAGACTTGAGACTATCCACTACATAAAAATATAACATTTATTTAAAATACATCCTGTTCCCCCCCCCCCCCCCCCGAAAAAAAACATGCACTGAGCGAAAAATTGAGCCACAATTAATGCAAATGTGTTTTGGCTAGCTGTGTAAATGATTAAACTTGCAGCACCAATCAGCATTGTGGAGCTATATAATGTGTCTGAGGTGTGTAACTGGTAGTTGTAAAAGGCAGGCGCAGCAAGTGACAAGCATTTGCAACCGAGCTAATGGCTAGGATACACGACACTGTAACGAAATAGGCCTTTAAGATGTACTCAACAATGTTATGAACAGTGGTCAGACTGATAGAGATCACATCATGAGCCTTAAAGATGCTAGCTGGTTGAACAGACAGATGAGCCGGCATATTGGTGGAAGTGATATGATCTTTGTCCACTGTTGGAACCAGTGGCTCAGCAAAGGCAACATAAATAGGTCGGGACATCCTCCGGTCACCAATACACAAAATGATCATGCAAATTAGAAACGCTGTTATATCCGTACCAACAATTATACTATAATCAATTTGCCAACATGCTGGGATCCCGGGATATCCAGAGAGATGATTCACAGAAGACTAGATGATGCTGAGCTCACATCTTGACCCCATTAAGATGCTTGCCATTGCCATTCCACAATAAGCAGTGTTGTTTTAACAAGATACCGCTCAAGCTGGACAGTATCTGATAGTAGAAATGTGATCTTCAGTGACGAATCATGTTTCTCTCAAATGCTGATGATTACTACACATGTGTCTAGAGATGAAGAGGCGAGTCATCCAATGAACCATTTGTTACCAAATGGCACATAGCCAGAACACGGTACAACAGTATGAAAAGCGATCAGCTGGTACAGCCATTAGTAATGCTTCGAGGTACTATAACTGATTGTAGAGTACATTGACTACATTTTGCAGCCAATTGTAATGCCTATGCTAGCAGGTTGTCCAGGTTCTGTTTTCAAGCAGGACAACACTCATCCACATACAACATGACTTTTCAATGTTTTAATGTCCTCATCTGTCCTGCTAGGTCTCCAGACCTGTTGCCTATCAAACATTAGACATGTTGTGCAGGCTAATTCAGATATGTATAAATACATCCCAACTCACTCAGCAGTTGCTCAATTTGTGGCACAATCTACCACAAAGGTAAATTGGCAACTTATAGACTAAATGATCAACCGAGTATTGGCTTGTACAGCTAACAGGGCTGGCTGTACCACCGATTTTCATATTCTTTGTAATGCTACCTTTAAATAAAACACTTTTTTTTTGCTCCAGTTTTTGAATATTAGTTTATCGACTCGAACACTATGCTACTGCAGAGTTTCACAGTTGCAGATTAATTCCTTTTGGGTGCATATATTTTTTTTTGCAACAGACTCTACTAATGCTCACTGCACAAGGGCAACCCATCAACAACATTCTGAATTCCAAACTGTTTTTGCCTGTGCCCCAGCCATCTCTTCTGATTCCTGTTTATACGGTTTAAATTTATTTTCCTCGTGCTCGATGTAATGTCACAATTTTTCAGGTTTAAAATGCTCTGCAGTTTAACTGATTTTCTCCATGTCATAGCTGCTAACCTTGAAAAATGAAAAAAAGAAGCTTTTCATTCAAAAGCATGGAGTTTCTGGAAAGTTTTTTGCATTGCATGGTGATGTAATTTTAGAAATTCAGATTGACTTAAATTCACTTTTTAATGCAAAGTTCACATTATAGAAATATTTATGATTCCAATGTAAAATACATTAACATTTAACACTTATGAACAGGCATCCCATACACATATTCCCTCTAAACGTCTCTTGCAGGCGGCGTCCCACCCATGCATCACTGGTGAATAAGCTCAGGCGATGGGTGATGCATATGTGCATTTCAAGCTAAATCATTTTTTAAAGACCACTATATGGCATCCTGTGTCCTTAACTTTTGAACTGAACATAGTTTTAGGATCCTGACCTTCAGTTTGATCCTAATCTGCTGACTCTGGTGTCAGATGTTGCCGGGCAGGAGGGAAATCTGAATGTAAACAAGCAGAGCTTGGCTCTTTAACTTGCCAAAGGATATAAATATTAATGCTTGTGATATCATATTCGAATTCTTTTTTTATTGTTTATTCAATACTATGTAAGGCTTTGCAGTGCTTTCAGATATATTCCGCGAATCCTCTTTATTTCTGAAATCCTAAACTTAGTCTATTATGAGGAAAAAGCATTATTTATCACAGGAAGGATATGCTCAGCAAAAAAGTGTTATATATCAAAAGGTTAGTTTGGTACATTTATATTTACCGTATTGGCAACACCAAGTTCTCTCTTCTCTGTGTGTGAGCTATGGATGCCGATGTAATGTTGTGCACGTGTTGTTAAGTTTCAATAAAAAATGTGAAAAGATACATTTGTTATTTTTCGACTTGCTTCTTCATATGACATGGATTTATTTAACATGGTAGCAGTTCTCGTGGTTTGTGAATATGAATGAAGAATTTAGTAGTTATAATTTGTTTTAAAAGTTACCGGTACTAGCGTAAAAATGGCATGTACAAGAAGCATCGATATAGGCATTCCGCTATTTGATGGTTCGGACTATTTTAATTGGAAAGTGCGTATGATGAAATTTCTTCAATTTAAAAAG